TTGTTCCATATAGCCACCTATTGCAAGGTAGAAAATACTGAAGACAAAATATAGTTTTATTGTGTTCCACAATAAAAGTGGAGAGGTTAATAAAGTGAACTATGATGATTTCATATTAGAAGTTTAGGTGTGCAATTTGGCGCCTGTACCATTCTTTGTAATGAAAGATGCTGGGAACATTAGTTTACAGAAAAATCCAAGAAGCACAGAGTTTAACTTCATATGGGACCCTTTGTTTGTTGTTATTTTTAGCTGCATTAATACCTGTGCCACCTTCAAACATTTGGCCAATGCTGAACCATGAAAAAAAAAAGCAGAAGATACCTTAATGAAACAGACAAAGACTACTAAACAACCAACCATGGGATCAGCAGAAAGTTGGAGGAGTGAGAAAGACAGGAGTACTTGGGGGGTGAGTGGGGAGGAACATGGGAGGGAAGAGAAAAGGAAATAATTCCTGGGGCTTCACTTCCTGAGCCAGTAGGCGAATACCACGCTGTAGAGCAGCGATACTCAGACTGAGGCTCACGAGCCACAAGAGTCTCCTGAGGCTCTTTGCAGCACATGATATTAAAACACTGATTTAATTATTAATCAAACTTCTTAACCAATCAGGATGCTTTGACTATGTTATTAACCAATGAAGTTTTCAACGTCCACTAAATTGTTAACTTATTTTGCTGTGAGAAAAATTGTATATATAATATAGTACTATAGTGAATGAAACAATGAATTCACACTACTATGGCTCATTGGGTAATGCCGATTGCTAATTGGGCTCCTGAACCACTGAGGTTTAAAGAACAGGAGTACTTGTGGCACCTTAGAGACTAACAAATTTATTAGAGCATAAGCTTTCGTGGGCTACAGCATCCGAAGAAGTGGGCTGTAGCCCACGAAAGCTTATGCTCTAATAAATTTGTTAGTCTCTAAGGTGCCACAAGTACTCCTGTTCTTTTTGCGGATACAGACTAACACGGCTGCTACTCTGAAACACTGAGGTTAAGTATCCCTGCTGTCGAGAATATGCCTCATGTCATTCCAACAGCAATCAGTCCAGCTGATTAAGGAACCCTATTCATTCAAAGGGAAGATTACTATAATACAGGAAGGAGATTTAAATATTGCTAACGATCACACAGCGGTAACAGTTCTGAGGTGTTCTCCTTGGAGTGAACAGGAACTGCATCTTGCTGTTATCTTGTATGACTGGAGGCCATAAGATACTAGGAGATAACAGGTTGCTAGAGTTAACATGACAATGAACTAAGCTTCACAGAACATTTAGCAGTGCATTATTAATGGGTTTGGCTCTATGTCCTTTGAGTTTACCTACATGGCTGCTTAATGTTGCTTAGTTTTAACTAGGGGCTAGTCTTCACTACGGGGGTAAGTCAACCTAAGTTATGCTACTCTAGCTACGTGAACAATGTAACTGGAGTCGACGTAGCTTAGGTCAACTTATCCTGGTGTCTTCACTGCGCTACATCTACAGGAAATGCTCTCCGGTCAACTAACCTCAGGCCTGTTCTACACTGGGGGGAGGAGAGGGAGAGGAAATCGATCTCAGTTACGCAACTTCAGCTACGTGAATAATGTACCTGAAGTCAACGTACTTAGATCTACTTACTGCGGTGTCTTCACTGCGGTAAGTCAATGGCTGATGCTCCCCCATCGACTCCGCCTGCGCCTCTCACCCTGGTGGAGTACCGAGTTGACGGGAGAGTGCTCGGCAGTCGATTTATCGCATCTAGACCTGCTAAATCGACACCCACTGCATCGATTGCAGCAATGTTCATCTTCCCGGTAGTAAAGACAAGCCCTAGGATGGGGAAAAGTCTCTTGCTTTCTTTGCCTATCTTAACTATACTGTTCTGAGTTGGTTTTGTTCAAGTAGAAGTCTTACATTAGTACATGTCCTGATTTCTATTATGTAGCCATCTGATGACAGACTTCTCCATGGAAGCATAGCTTTGACAATCACCAAAGCTCAATTTAGTTCTAGTCTGGTTTCTGCCTAGTTGAGGGAAATAGTACTGAGCGTACAGCCTCTGTTCTAAGATATTCTGAGAAGAGCAGAATCTCTCCCTTGGGGTTTATCTTGCATGTCCCTGCTGACACAACTGCTCTAGAATCTCATTTTCTTTGTAAATAGATCTAAGGCCAACTATAGATTCCATTTCAAAGCTATCCTAACCGCACGCACCTCCTTTGTATACTGTAACTCAGCAGTAGGTTTGAGGTGGAAAGCATCTATAATTAAAAATGCTCTACAGACATATAGCTGTACACATACAACAACAAATATTAACATCCAGCAGAGCTTAGCATTAAACACTACAGTAATGCTTAAAAGCCTCCCCACAATCTAAGATCCTATATTGATCATTATTTCTCTGGATGACCGACAACCGCACAACTGGCCAGATAACTTCAGACATTTAGCAATAGTCATGTCAGATGCCTGAAAACTAACATTTCCAATTTAAAGCAACAGGCCCCCATGCCAGAAGCATTTTTATTTATTTTTTAAATATAAATATGCACAAACACCCAAGTCAGTACTAGAGAAAACACAGGTTCTCTCCCCCATGCCTGTGTGGTATTAGAAGGGTCTCTGGCTGGATAAACTTCCCAATTTACCACATAATGTCCCCTTTAAAGTATTTTAGAGTGGAAGGATGGGCCAGTGGTTAGTGTCCTAGTGAAGAACTTGGGATACCTGGGTTCAATTCCCTGATCCACCATATACTTCCTGTGTGACCTCACGCAAGTCACTTGGGAACTGAACCTCAGTTCCCATCTGTAAAATGGGGATAATAGTACAGAATACTATAGCAGTATTTCACACAGGTGTTGTGAGAATAAACACATGAAAGATTGTGAGGCACTCAGAGACAGATGAAGTGGGGGGCCATGTACATACTTGAAATGGACATAAAAAAAAGCCAGTTAAAGAAACTTAAACCTACCAGCTTCACTGAGATTTATTCACTTCATTGCCAGGAATTATTTAGATGTAAATTTTGCTTGCGCTCAGCACATAGCCATGTCTGCCTGCTGTGTAACTGGGAATTCAACAAGATGTCGGTACCTTTGACATGGATTAATGAAACACTACGTATAACCATGACAAATCATTTACATGCTTTGATAATGGGAAAATGTTATCAACTTTTATTACAAACATTTTCCTATGGATCTGAAATCTTTTTGTCTGATAATTAACCCTCCACAAAAATCCAGTTTTTTGAGCATCTTCACATAACTGACGGCCACTCTCCTCCTGTGGCTACACTTTTTATTATTGTTTTACTAATGCATTTTTGGATTAGCAAAGAATGCAAAAAAAAATTAGTACAATGATATGCTTTAGAAAAAACATCGAAATAAACATACGCATTTATTAAATAAAGTTTCATAACCTCGTGAATGGTGAATTTCCTGGGACTAAGTTAAACAGAATAAGTCTTTGTTCACCTTCATTGCCAAGACCTTTTTCAGAGAGCAAAAGAAAGTTTATTCAAAAAATTGGGAAGAGGAGGTTTCGACACATACTGTGAATACACAGACTCTACAGAGTAGCACAAAGCTGACATTCAACTCCACGTTTGTTGGCTCCGATTTATAAATGAGTACATTTTCCTCAAATATATTCCAGCTGAGTTGCCTTTGGCCTATCTCAAAGAGGAGTGGGGGTGAGGTGGGGAGCACGGAAAGACACTCTGAAATCTTTTCTGTTCACACCCAGTTTTCATATACTCATGATCTAAGCCATTGCCAGCATTGATTATTAGTTACATTAAACTTCTAATTAAACAGAAAAAAGATATTCCAACTAGTAGATATAGCTTTAGATCACAAGACTTCCCTATTTAAATGTCTATGCAGCATCACAAACATCCCAAAATAGTTTATAGTAAGTGTATGTGGCTTGTGATTTTATTAAAGAAACAATGCTAGTAATTGCTTTCTATGATTATCTGTTTTCTCTACTGATATGCAAGAGATTTACTCATCTAACTGGTATTAATATTAATTGGCATTACCCATATAAATTCCTTCCATGTGAATGATAAAGGACATTCCTCCCACCATCCCCAATATTTAGCTGCTCCACCATTTCACTTTTTAGTATAAGCTATCTATGGGTGAAAGTTTCAAGTAGTATCAATTTGGGGGGAAGATATATCAATTTATTTTACTAAGCGGTATGCAAGATCAATGCTTTTGTCAGTCCTAGAAGAACAAATTAAGCACACTTGCATGTAAGTAAGTTCTAAATTTGCATACAGATGTTAAACGCATTGATCTGCAGGCAGTCAGGCAATATACTGGTGAGTTGATATTAGCAAATATTAATATTTACAGTGTTCAAAATCCATCATAAAAAACCAACTACCTCTACAATTCAAAAAGAAAAAAAAATCCAAGAAGTCTGCAGTGTTTCATCTTTCTAGTACAAGCTGATCAGCAATAAACCTACTCTGAAGTCTCCACTTCTTCCTAGTACTTGGTTTTAATTATTCCATTCCTCTTTAGGAAAAAGGAATTACTTAGTCCTTATGAAGATCAGTATAAAGCCATTCCATGGATTTCATCAGAAATAAGGTGTCTCTTTTCAACAGTCACTAATTCTCTTAACTCTTTATACTTAATTTTATAGGGAACTTCTGTGGTTTCTTCAGTCCTCCCTCCAAAAATGATCCCTTACATCCAAATTCAGTACATGCCATATACAATTTACAAACAGAGCAGGGGGCCAAACTATATAGTATAGTTTTACATTTACATATAAATGGCAAATTTTGTAGAAAAGCAAACAAAAACAAGTTGATAAGTTACAGGAAATAGAAAGTCATTCTGCATTCACATCTGAGTTATGATGAATAGCAAAAAAACCAAACCCCATTTTCTCTAGCAATACAGAAGCATATATTTGACAGAAAACGTTTACTGTGCAACTAAAGACTTGCAATATGGAACAAGAGTCCTCCTACCTTTTGCGCATCTCCTGTGAAATAGGCTATGGCCAAGGTGGGAAGAATCATAAACAGTGCATTGTAATAAAGCAGACCATACTTTCCCAGCTCCTAGGAACAGGAAATAGTTGCGTATTTAGGTTGGCTCCACAAAACAGAGACATAAAAACTTATACATAAAGCTACACAAAACCAGGTCTCATCAGTGAAATGAATGTGGTATACCTGCATAGTTAGAAGTGAAACATGGACATTTTAAATATTATGAAATAAACCTGTCTTGCATATGATACTTTTAGAACCACTGGGCGAATTCTGTGCTTGGATGTTCTTTCAGAGACCCATAAAGGCATTGCTGAAATATTAACAACCATCAATATTCGGGTCTTAAAAACTCATGCACACTTTCAGGGACACAGCCATGTTTCATTTCAGGTAGAGAAAGCAATTTGGTTTGGAATTCACAGAGAAGACAGAGAGGTCAGGTGTTCATCAGAATATGAGCAATGCCTGGGCACCCTCTAAGTAAATGACCTCCATGGGCCCCACAACCAACCACGGATGTAGACAGAGCCAAACTGTGTTGGACCTGAAGAAGAGCGCTGTGTAGCTTAAAAGCCTGTCTCTCTCCCCAACAGAAATTGGTCCAATAAAAGATATTACCTCACCCATTTGTCTCTCTTGGACACCTGAAGCAGGAATCATGACTGAGCCCTCATTCTGGTTGAGTTTTCTGCATCATTATGGTTTGGCCCTGTTTACACCAGCAGCCAAAGCATTCAATAATAATTTTCTGAGAGAGTAGGCAAGGTGCATTGTTGGCAGAGTTTTGACATGAGGTATCTCAAACACAGACCAATTCCCAATATAGACAGAAAGAAGAGTGTACCTCCAGCAGGCTTGATGGAGCACTGTTTATCAGACTTGTAAAATTCTCCCTTATATTTTGTTCATTAGGCAATACTTTTACCTAGTTTGACTTCCATCCAGCAGGTTTGGAAACCTGGTTATAGTTATCATTGATCAAATGGAAGTGTCTTCACTGTCAAACAGATTGCAGCTATGCCCTGCAGCACTTTAAGATTGCAGGATATGTTTATAATGCTAAAATGGTTTATGACAGCATGCAGAAGAACAGATACACCCATACCTAGCTCAATAGTTTGCATGATATTTTGTCATTTCCCATAGCAGCAGACTGGTGACATAAGCCACCTTATTCACACACAAGATGCCTTCTCCTACGCTCAAAATATTCTATGCTACACAAAAACATGTAACTTCATCACAGGAAGAAAAAGGAGAAGACGACGACGAAGTAAAGCATTTTAAGGAACAGACTCAACATTCACAATAAATATAATCAAGAAAATGCTTCATATCACAGGCAACAGATGCCCCAAAAATTATTTACAGTGGCTTGTGTATCTTCCTGGCTACATTAATAGAAATGGAGTTCACTAGCAATGTAAAGGTTTGTCCTCCACCTTGTAGTTAAAAGTTACACTTAGCCCTCACACTGTATGTTGTGAACATCTGATAAGCTCATCCTTGTACTTTCAGGGTAGCCTAAACAATCAGTTTCTCTTTCCCAGATGCTGAACTACTAGGAACTTGGCAATACAGCTGAGACTCTAACAGAATACAGCACATGTATGTTTAGTGTTTATAAGGAGATGAACAGGGATTCCCAATTGCCCCAAAGTACACTATAGAGCATCCCTCAGCCTGTGTTAAAAAACTACACAGTTGCAACAATAAGGACAGAAGTTCATTTCCAGGTCTGGCTGCAGAAAAAAGGGTAGAATAGGCTGACATATCAGCTCTCCCTGCCTTTGAAAGCAGTGGGAGGGAGGATGTGGTCAGTTCACTGTCTAGTGAAGAACCAGGTTTTTAATTCTTTTAAATGACCCTGACTTTGTAGCTAAATAGACAAATCTATTATTTCACCCAGATACAAATAAATATAGCTCCAACAACAGTGAATTGGTTATGCTTACAGTTTGATCAAACTGAATTTACAGCTTATTTCAAAATACATGCATCTGTATTTGCAAATAAAACAGAAGTGTCAAGTTAAGATCCAGAAAAATATTGTTCAGGACAAACACAAGAATAAGGAGCTACAAAAGTTTTACTTTAAATAATAGTGACAAGATGTGATGAGTTCAGTGACAGAGCACAATACCTGGGGAAATAAACAGTTCATCCAAACACCATATTACCAGCTGCAGAATACACTCACATTTTCGGTCTCCAACAATTAGCTTTCTATTCATTAACCCATAATGTTCAAAATTTTAAAAGTGGCAGTGTTGTAGATTAGCTGTTACTTTGCAACACAATAATGTCATTCTTAAAGTGAAAATTGAAGTCAGCCTACCTTTGAATCCAGTTTCTGTTTTACATATGCACCATTTGCAGCTGTCAAGACATCATTAATCAGGATAAAAATATATCCTTCTAGATCAAATGCCAAGTCAGCACTGGAGGGGGAAATTAAGAATTTAAATTGCTCAGAGTGTAACATTAATAAAACTCCTCCATGTTATATTTTGTCTGATAAGTTCCATGTAGAAAAGGCGTTTCCAGTGAGCTTACCTGGCAGGCTAGCCTCTGCATTTGAGGCACTGAGCTAAGACTCAATATAATAAATGCTGCATTCAGTATCACTAATTGTACAAACTAAGGCCCCAATCCCATAAATGCCACAAATGTTTACACATGCTTAACTTTACTAGCATGAGCTTGAAATCAGTGGAACTACTCCTGATAGTAAAGTCCAGCACATACGTAAGTGTTTGAGGATGGGGGCTTTAGTCTGGGACCGGAAGCCATTTTCTCCAGTTCTGGACTTTTTTTTTTGAATGAAAACATACAAACATTAGGCCATTAACTAGCCATCTACTCTTCTCACAAGTGAACAAGTGAGTTTTTCCACTCACCTTGCCCTGACAATGAAATTCAATGTTTTGCACAACTTTAGCAATTTCCATTTAAAAGGATCATAAAATATTTTAAAATTAAGCTTTGACATGATGACTTAAGCCTTGTTTACACTAGAAAATTGTATTGTTTTCACTTATACTGATATAAAGGTACTTGTACCAGTATACTTTATTTACCTACTAGAAGGGGAATACGTTATAGTGGTAAAAGGCACCTTTATATCAATATAACTGCATCCACACTAGGGCTTTTACTGGTATAATTATAAGTCACACCCCTAACCAAAACAGCAGAACTTCAAGTGCAGACCCCCATTCTACCATTATCTACATGAAGGCTTCACCATAACCATCCCAGACAGTGGAAAAAATGGAAGCTGAACAAGGACAAGTTATGCTTTTAAGTTTAGAAGTTTCTAGCTGATCTATCTATTGCAGAACATGCCGGCAGGATTTCATCATGTAAGTGCTACCGTTAAATTGTTACAGTTTATGAATTCTAATTAACTTTGTAAACTAACCAGCATACTCTGTACAAGCCATTTAAAAAGACAAATAATATAAACTGTAAAAAGCTGTGTAATATAAAGCGGAAGGGACAAAAGCTTGAAGTCTTACCTAGCAGCTACAAATGCACCAATTATCATTGCAAACACTGTCATTTGAATGCCCCAAGAAAATTTCTTCCTGAAAAAAGAAAAAAAAAGATACAAGAACCTTACTATCACTCATAATCACAGTTCAATTTTGACGTCGCAGTGCCATTTCTAGTACTAAGGGGAAAGCATTTGCTCTGGTCACAATTCAGACTGCCTGGTGCAGAATCAACATATAAGGAGCAAAGATCAGAAATTCTGGAAGAGCAGAATACTTCTGATTTTTTAATTAGGACTGATGGGGTGTAACACTTTAGTAAGTGCTATCTGAGCCCACTATAGTTAAAGATTTCAGATTGGCGTTGCAGAACTAGCCCCAGTATTAGATAACCTGAACATTCATTTGTGAGCTATTATCACTGTGGACCAGAAAAATACCATAATGCTCTGGTGACTGGCCACTAACACCGACTAGCCTGTGAATAGGAGACATTCTGGAGGGGAGGGGGAGAAAGGGGACAGGCCATCAATAATACACAGAGTGGGTTACCCTCGTACGATGTGGTGTAAGTCATTTTGGGATAGCCTCCTACCCAAAGAATTACAGGGTAGGAAGACTGACAAACCTACCTATACACACAGAGTTAATGATCTTGCTTACACGGCAAGTGAACAGTGCTAGAATCCAACTACATCAAGACAATTAATCTAGAGACTTGACCTCATCCAAGACTGCCAAAATACAGTACACCCCCATTGTAGGGAATTAACTGTGTGTTAACCATCTGGCATATGGACATAATCCTCGTGTAGAGTCAGCCTAGTGACAAATATGATAGAGATGCAGCGTAGAAAGTGCCTTATTAGTGTAAGAATCTTAACATTTTCCTCCCTTAGCGATGTAGTTAAATATATAAACTTAATGCATTAGATTTTTTTCCCCTTTGATAAAAACATGAAGGTGAAGGACCCATTTAGCATAAGATTATTTTATTAGAAAGAGAATGATGTATTAATCAGTGCTCTCTCTCTCCCGTGCCCCCATGTTTTTAAAGCCCAATTTATGGCCAACTAAATCTGACTGCACAAATCCTCTACACGCAAAGGCTTATTTAAAACGTTACAACCACTTTAACAATCTTAAAAATGATATGAATAAAAGATTGATAGTTTTGGAAATAACTCACTTGAGTAAAATTCCTTCAGCAAACATTGTAAACAGAATAGAAAACCTTCTCAGAACCGTGAACATTGGCAAGCTGCAAAAGAAAAAAAATAAGATTAAAATTGGGGGGGGGGGGAATTATAAAACTTCACAGACATGTTACACCCCAAGCTCATCCCCACAGTGATACTTTGAATCGACACCAAGTTACTTTATAGGAACTAAGATAAAGTTTAAAATCATAGCTATACAAAACTACCACAACAGTAAGGATTCCATGGCATCCCTCCTGGAAATCATTAATTTGATAGCCAAAAGGTACTTCTACACCTGTCAAGAACTTTTCACAGGAGAAAATCTCCATCTCCTACCAGCTGGATATAGAGCATGTGACTTCCACAGATTAACAATAATTTGATTTTGTAGGGCTATTTTCAAGCTCAAATCTATGAAATCCAGAGTAACAAATGAAGGTTGATTACATTTATTACCAAATGTATCTATTTATCTTAAGGCTTCACACAGTCCAATGTAAATAATCAAGTTGTATTAGAATGAAAAAAGTGTTCCATGAATAGATGTGTAGCTGATTGTGGGGTTCTTTCCCACTTCTCCTCAAAATAATGTCTCTTCAAATCAGCTAAGTCATACCATTTTCTCCCTTCTCCTGCCCCACCCTTCACCCCAGCAGATCCAAAGGCCAGCATCTTTTAGTACAGTTTCTCCCCACTCCTTTCCTTCCGCCTCCCCAGATGCTGTTCAAGCGTAAGAATAGAGACTCCTCTAAGATCATAGGAATGAGCTTCATTGGAGACACTGACAGATCACTAAATGCCAGTCAGGAGAGTGTCATCTTGTGATTTATGGCTCTTTAAAAGAAAAAGAAAAAAAAACCTTGCACATTCCAAGGCCAGAAACGAGACATTGATTACTAGTTGCCAGATAATAGTTATAACCCTCATTCCCTACATTGCCACAAATCAAGCCCATGGTGATATTAAAGATCAGTTTCACCTTTATGTACAATCATAACACATTATAACCTCACTAAATAATAAAAGTTATCCGTACTTCAGTTTCTTTGTGCTGAAGAGTCCTGTGATTTGGTTCCCAAAATATAGAAGAGGTAGTGGAAACGTCTAGAAAATTATAAGAGGGACAACACTCAATAAAAAATTAGACAGCTAGAAAACTACCCATTCACATAGTAACATGATCAGAGTTCTTCAATCCTGAAATGCTTAGTTCTCACACGCACATTCAAACCTCAGATAATATAATAAAGCATCGACTCTATAACAACAGCTTTCAATTAGGGAATCATCTCAATATGGAGACAAGCAAAAACATTTGTGCAGCCTACTTTAAAACATGAGTTACAACACACACACTTTTGAAAAATGCATTTATCTTAAGCAACAGTTTGTGAAACATCAACCGAACATCTTTGGTTGCATATAGATACGGTCTTTAAAATTAATGGCAACATAAACTTGGAGAAAGGTATATACATGAGAACACAAAAATAAATACAGAGTACAACTGCTTTACATAGCAGAATTCTGTGCCGGATTGCATAATGTAATAAGGCAGAAACCATGTTATATTTGATGAATAAAGTATTTTAAAATGGTATTTTTTTAATAAAAAGCATTCTTTCATTCAAGTCTAGCTAACAGCACTAGATGTTACTGAACTTTTTAAAGAATATGCACATTTTAAAGTGTTTATACCTTAAAAGGATAGTAAGAACTGTATTTTACATTAGACACTATGAGGGAAAAATGTTTTACCTTTCGAGGTATATTTCTGTCAAAGTCTGGAAACTTCACCACCCTGAGCGCCTTTCCCACCCAAAGCACAGTCACCGTGGCCAGCATCTATAAGAGGAGCACAAAACACTCACTGTTCCATCCCGACAACCCTTCCCATGCACTACTAGAAACATGCAATATTCAGGAATCCAACTAACCTGGCCTAGTCCAACACATAGGGAGGAGGGAAATCTATAGTAAAAAAAAAAATACAAAAGTCAGCAAAGTCAACATTGTACTTTCAGTCAATCACATTCTAGAGAGAGAAAAACTACATGAAAATACAATCTGCCATCCTGTCAAAGTTTGCTCTTTAGCTAAGCCTAAATGTTAGCCTTTTAATATTTGCCTTAAAGCATTTCCTGGTCAAAGCTTAAAAAAGCTGGCTGTATCGCCTGAGCTAACGGCAGACAACACCCATGACCCTACAGCTTTGGGATGCTAAAGGTTTGTTCTCCCCTGGCTCACATTCTCAGTGACTCTAAACACTTCCCTGCAGGCAGTGAACCTGCACCCCCGCCTGCTCCACGCCAGGAGAACCCCCCCAGCGATTAGCTAGCGAGCTCATCCAAACCTGCCAACACCCTGATGCAGCAAGTGCCAAGCAAAAGTCACAGCCTGTAGCTTAGCTGGGGGCCAGGATCAAAACCGGGGCCCCAAGCACACCCACCCCCGTGCCCGCAGCCGGGGAAGGCGGGGGGAGGGGGGCGAACCCCCC